ACGATCACTGGAGTAGAATTCATGAAGAGCACTTTTCTGAACTTCTTCTCTTTAAAATAAATACTACTTGCAATATTTTGCATCTTATTGCAACAAATAGATTTTAAAAAAAAATATAATGACTTAAGGTACTTGCTTTTAGCAATCCTCTCACTTGAAAGATCTCCATCCGAGTCACACCTCCAGAGCATGGCACCCAGTGGAACACTTTGCAGTCGCCATTTGAGAAATGATTCAGAGTCTGCTGCTTAGTGGAGTACCAGCATCACTTCCTACAACACGCATGTCTTTCCTCTTGAACTCCCACCCAAGCTGGAACTCAGCCAGTGTCTGTTTAGCTCTTGAGATACACAGTAATCAACGTGCAGTCTGGCAGGACTGTGAGCATACCAGCAATAAAACTGATAAATAAATAAATCTCAGTACTTTCTATGAGTTGCTTTTAGCCTAGGCACTGAATAATTACAGCTGACTGTATGTTATACACATAAGTCAGTTGTAAACATGCTTAAATGACATTTATGTCCTAAAAAGTGTTTTAATAAGAAAACCTGTGAAGTAGATTGGAATCTCCATTGCAATCCAGAGGAACACTTACATCTTAGGACTACTTCAGCTGTAAGTGACAGCAGAACCCAGTCTGGCATATGGTACAGTATGCTGTAGTAATACAGCACTTTGTCCTTGGACCTTCCTCATATCACAGGGCCACCCTCTACAGTTAATTCACTTATGGTACTCACTCATGTAGAGGTGGGAGAGTAACAAATCCACCTTTCCTCTTCTGCTAAGGTCTCCATCCACCAGTACACTTTTACACCCCATCTCTGAACCAAGAATAAAAGCCCCTTGTTTCCAAATTAATCTCAAAAGCTCTCTTCAGCCCACACTACTGTTTGTCACTGGTTGACAACACATTACCATTATTCACACCGTTACTCAGGCCTATGTCCAAGGACCTTTTATCCTCTTCCTCTCTCCACTAGTCAAACTATGCCTACATCCCAGCCCAAATCCTGTTTCTTTTCTCTGAAATACATTTATCAAAACTGTTGTTTTCTTTTACCATCTAAACTTCTTGCTCAGTCTCATTTTGGCATTTTGAATGTAGTCAGTGCAATTGTCAGGTCAAATATGCAATTACACACTTTAAATCCACACAAAATGCTTTATTCTAGGTGCCACGCTGAGCCATAGTGTTAAAGACTTAATTCGAACTCCTTTCTCTTCTACTACATGTTACTGAAGGTTTATGTCACCATATTACAAAACTGCAGCACAATTACTCTTCCCTCCAAAGGCTTGTTTTATGTTGCCTCCATCTTTCCCTTCCACTACCCACCCAGCCCAGAGCTTACACCCACATTATCACATTCCAACTGCAACTCAATTTCGATGGCTTATCTTGGCAGTCCTTGGCACAGAAGCCGCCTTTCATGAGTTGTGTGATAAAGCTGTTACTCATTCCCTTTGCATTCTGATCCTTCACAGAAAACATTTTCACTGCAATATTCAAGAAAAGGACTATTATCCGTACTAGTTGGCCAATATTAAAAGATTGAGGAATAAAAAGCAAGAACGTGACAGCAAACAAAACCAGAAATTGTGTCACCTTTACACTGCACTGTTGGAACCTCCCAGACTAGTTGACCTACACAGTGTACCATACCCTTCCCTGCTATCTTTATGCTAGCTAGATTTAACAGTGCCCTTCCCAAAAGATTCAGATTTTTCAAATATACAAATAAAGGGTTACCTACCAAATATACCTTGAAGTATTTCCTTACCTTATCCAGGGAGAACGTTTTAGTGACAGCAAAGCCCCATCCAGCTTCAAAAGCTCTCCGAATCATTGAAGAACTAGTAGTAGGGGTTGCACTGGCAAGGCCAAAAGGATTTGGAAACTTCAGTCCAGTCATTTCTACACTGATGTCTACTAAATCGATAGGAGTATAGAAGAGTGGTAGTTCTGGAACAGTAGAAACTGCAACACCGTGTAAGGACTGTAAAAAAAAAAAACCAAACCAAACAAAAATCACAGAATTTTTTGCTGATTCATTTTTTATATAATTTGGTATTAACCCTGATAAACGAATAATTCATATATAATAACCCAAAGTTTATGTATTCTATTATGTGTTCAGACTTGCAAATAAGCAAAACATGCAATCACTTGCATATGTAACATCTCCTGTCCAAATAGTATTCATGCTGAAATATTGTGAAATGCTGGAAATAACTGAAAATTAATAATAAACAAACAGTTATTTTACATCCTGTACCTCTAGCCTGGTTCAGCCTAAAGGTTTGTTCTGCCATTCTGAAGAGCCAGTTCGGTTCCCTACAGCAGCCACCAGCAGTGAGACTGAAAAAAAACCCAGGGTATGCACAGACAGACCCTTGCTACTTTCCTTCCCAGATGCCAATCTGGAAAAAGTGTAGGGACTTGTGAAAAATGAGGGAAGGCATCCATGTGCAGGAGCACTCAGCCCTAACTCAATGTATTTTGAGCTGCATCATTTTCTCCCCCCTTTTAAAGATTTTATCTGGCCTATGCAATGCGAAACATATGAATACATGCAAAACTATTACTGTTTTAATATTTAACTGTATTAACAGGAATACTTTAAGAGTGACAAAAATTAGACTCTGATTTGGGATCAAAGAACATCACACACATTACGGCTGTGACACCACAGTCACTTTTGTTTTCATTTTAAAGACAGGCTTTTCTCTGGAGAGCCAGTGAAAAGCTTTCAGTGTAAATGTTGCTTCTAATACTGTAAAAATTGTAGAGAGAAAAATCTTTTTCCATGTATGGATACTGAACAGCTTCCTAATTGGGCTGTGGTAGGTAGAATTAAAATCTTTGCTCACTCTGATGGTTGACTCAATAAAATCACAAAGAAATAAATCAGGCATTTCTCACACAGGGAAGCCCTACGCAGTCCGTGTTCCTAGTAAGTCCCAGCATAAGATCACAGCAGTTTCTTCTACCCTTAAAATGAAGATTTCTTCAAGGGCTGTTTACAACAAAAAAAAAAAAAAAAAAGCTATACAGTAAGTATATTACAAAAAAAGACCTGCAGGGTGTTTTATGGATTTTTGGTAGGTTATTTGGTGTTTGGTTGTTTTGTTTTTTTTTTTTTAAGGAACTTATCTACCCCATTTTTACCTGTGAAAACTAATAAGCATGGATGGGATAAGGTTTTTTTTGTTTGTTTTAAAGCCTTTTGTTTCCTAGGCTGGTTCAAAACCTAAAAGGTTCACGCGTCTGTCTGTTTCGGGACTGCCGGGATTCACGTCTCATATTCTGAACCCAGATCTTCGATTCCTTGGACAGAGAGGATACATGTGGGGGCCAAATTTTCTGATGGCTTAAAAGCACTGAAAGTAGTGGAATTGTCCTAGCCTCAATGATGCGAACCTGAATGCACTCCTAATGGTGGACATTTTGAGAAAAGCTAAATTTTAAAGATTCCTAACCCGGAACCAAACTCCCTTCAGTATCATGACCTCTCTCAGCTGTCAGTTGATGGAGCCACACTTCATAAAAAGCCAGACATCCCCCATTTCCTCCCTCCTGAGTGCTCACTGCTCCCTCCGTGTCATACTCCACAGGGCTGTTTTGCTCTTCGAAGACCAAACAGCCCAGCATTCTACATCTCAAGAGCTTTTGTCAACTGACAAATCAAAGAAAGAAAGGAAAAAGGAAAAAAGAAAAAAAGAAGTATTGCCTTTTGATTTTTTGGGGTCTCATTTCATATTTTTAACTTTCTTTTTAGTCTTTCTTAACTAAAATTCTGACTGCAAAATGCCTGCAATGCCAAAACAGAAACTCCTGGATCACACGACTGAAATTAAAGCATTTTTAAAATGTCAGCACTTTGTCTCCTACATATTTGGAAGTGGGGAAATCTGCTGAAATCAACACTGATACACTGAACTCTTACAGTGAACTCTTTGGTTTTAATTCTGTAAGATTGACAGCAAAGACAGACTTATGGAAAGGGTTTTGGCCAATTCCACTCTGCACATGTGAGTAATAAACCTAATTTTCCATTTTGAAAGCAGTTATTTGTTAATTCATTTGCTATCTAGAATCGTTCAAATGTTCTCTGTGAATAGCCTGTGGATTGCTCACAAACTATTCATTGCTTGTATAACTGTAAATATTGATTGTTATAGACAGATTAAGTGCTTAATATGCAGCTTAAGTTACACTGCATTGTTTCTTTCCCAAGCAGGAAAATTTAATCTCTAAAAGTTGTGAGTGTTGCTTGAAAGCGGTTCTTAACTACAGACCCAAAATGAGCTTTCTGTGATAAAATAGAAAATAAATCCTACACAAGACAAAAAAAATAAAATCCACCAAAGCAGTGAAAGACACTTGAATCAGGTGGCTGAATGCACCCATGCAAAAATAGGCCTTCCCTCCTGCACGCCACCATGCAAAGGGTCATAAGCCATTCCCAAGCCATACGCAGAGGTCTATTCTTCCCACCAAACTTCCCTCACAAAGAACAAAACCACAAGGAATTCCACCCAGAGTCCCTCAAGCACGGCAAGAAGTGCCTAATGGTTTGTTGATAATGAGGTGACCCAGGTGGAGGTGGCAGGGGGAGGATTAAAAAAAGGTTTCCATGGAATAAACCAAGTTTTAAAAACACACAGGGACAGGATGCAGCTGAAGTTTCAGTAGCTGCTGGCTACACATCCTCACAGATTTATCACCCTCCTTCCTATCACATCCCTTTTTGCTCTATTTATTTTTTGCTGGTTTTTCCTGTCAGCACAATGCTTATAAAAGAAATAAATTTACTAAGCCCTGATGTGTTGTTTTCTACAAAGCAAAACTTTTGGCAAACTAAAATGTTTTATAGCTTCCTGAAAGTAAAATCATCTTTACAATGAAGGATTTCCCTGACACCGCACAAACAAATAGGAAAAGAAAGCCTGCAGGCAAGGGTTTATTTATAATAACTCTTCCCTTGATTTTTAAAAATAGAAGACAAAAAGTGTGGCCCATTCTTCCTCTAATTTGATGCCAACCAGCTGAGCTAACAATATTGCAGGTACTTACTGTTCCAGTCACGGCAATTTTTTGGATACTGGAACAGGGTGGTGAAAAATCCCCGACACGTTGCATGCAGTGGCCCTACCTTACTCCAACCTGGATATGCCTGGAGGCAAAAGCAGCACAGTCTGTAGTGCAGGGCTGAGAGAGAGGAACTCAGCTTTAGACCTGATACAATTTGTGACATTCATTTTCTTTAGATGGAGAAAATTCTTAACCGCAGTGATATGGTCTAACTCCATTTTCAGGCCTTTAACAAAGATTGACTGTGAAAGTGAGTAGTTGTATTACTGTTATTTTTCACAGAGAGCCTTCTCTACAAATCCTACTGCCTGGAAGAGTTTTCCCGAATACTTTCATCTCACTCCTGCTTTCTCTATTTTTTAAGTCTTATCTTAAAACATATCTTTTCTCCCTTGCATGTGCTTCTTTTATCCTCTCACCAATCACCCGTTATTTAACTTTGTTAAATATGTTTAAACTTTGTTACATACATTTATGCTCTTTCATACAATCTCAGAATGGTTGTGGTTGGAAGTGATGCCTGAAGACCATCTAGTCCAACACCCTTGCTCAAAGCAGGGTCAACTAAAGCAGGTTGCTCAGGGCTCTGTCCAGTTGGACAGAGACGTTCTAAGTCTCTTTCTGGCTTTCTGTTTCTGGAACAGATATCATGTTTACTCAGTGGTAAGCAACTAAAATACCAAGTTTCCTGCACTTGCGTTCAGTCCACCCTTTTGCAACTCGTGCTTTGTTACTTGTCTCCATGCTAGTGTTTCATATGTCGTTCTAGCTAAACAAAGGGACATTCAATTTTTCTTTTGGATATCCTAAAAAGAAGCAGACAACATAACTAACGGCTTCAAAGAAAGCTTCCTAGGAACCACCCATCTCTGGTATTGATTATGAAATAATGTACACTCATGCATGCTCGAGGAATACGTGAGAATGGTCAACCTTCATAAAAGAATCAACAACTATACTCTTCAGACACAAAGCCATAAATATTTTTTGACAGCACACATAAAGAAAAAATAGTAAATATACAATACTGGTTCAAAATAACAGTGTGATGTGCTCAAAATTCATATTGAATAGCATCTTAGTGAAGTGCAATTTATATCAGTTGGGATCCAGCCCTCTATTCTTTAAGTGTATCATGTACGTTTCAGTCTAGGAAAGACATAAAAGAAACTGTCCACACTGGGGAGATCACAGTAAAGAAAAAAAATAGATTTAAATAAAAGAAAACTTATTGTGAACCCAGGAGGAAAAGTCACTTTTTAACAGGGATTTTAGTGAGAAGAAGATGGCAGCTTGACTGCCACATATGGGAAAATGCTCCACAAATATGTATAAGAATAGAGCAGGAGTTGGCGCAGTGGTCCAAAAAGAAAATACTGGAAGAATCACGATGCAAGAGCTGTCTTCGCTCTCAAGGCAGGCATAGAAAATTAGAAGTTAGTCCTGCAATAATTATGAATTACCCTGAACATAACTGTTGTATTATTAAATCCCATTCACTGATCAAAAAGAAATGAATAGAATCTGAGGCAGAGAAGAGAGCAGAAGCCTATATCGCTTCTGCACAAGACCATAAAGTCACTGTTGGACAAAAATGAAGGGCCATTACAATCCCCAAACTAAATAAATCACCAAGACTATCTTTCAGAAGTTTTTACGTCATTCATGGAGTAACAAAAACGTTGAATCCTGAAAAAATGTTGTGAATAGTAGACAGTTGCATGAATTGGGCTGAACCTGTTTGGATCTCTAATGACTTGCAAAGAATGGTTCTAGGAAGACTGACTATGCTTCCTAACAGGTTCTACTACAACTATCCTTAGTTAGGCTTTGACTGGTCATGTTTATAGAAACTAACCTGACACAGCTGCAGGCAACAATTTCTGAGATGAACCTACACTTCATATAGTGGGAGGAATATGTTAAGAGGCAGGAGATATTTAGGCAACTAATGATGGAAAGTTTCCAGCATAAGAGCAGCCAAGAAGCTTCTGTAAATAACTCCCAGTTTTGAACATAAGGCATTTCTGCTGGAGAGTCCTTGAGTCTGGATCTCATGCTACATTTGACCATGTGCCAGAGCTTGCAGTGATTGGAGTTTCAGGGCACATATCAGGCCCATCTGTTTGCTTAGCCTTTTGCCTGGAGTAGGCTGGGATACAAGCAGCGTGCCGTTCAAACAGTGCATTCTGCAAGCAGTCAGGATGGTGGTTTTGAGTTTCAGTCTTTGACATGGTCTTGGGTTGGTTGACAAATCCCATGGAATAGTTTTATTTTGCTAACGGCCGACGGCATTATTTACAGATCGCGGTGCCGAGACAGTTGGCGATTTTGGAAATGGCTACCTCTTCCTGTAACAGAAATGCAAATGGGTAGATGGTATCAATGTATTTATTTGAAACTTAATGTGTACTTGATTCATACACTCAGATCACAGGAAGGTTACTTGCCTTAGAATCTCACAGCACAGAGAAAATAAGGTAGTGTGTAAGGATGTTTTCTCATTTGATACTGGAAGTTTCCAGAACACAGGGCTGTGAATTGAACAAGTGCAGACGCATGCGCACAAAGGCATGCACACATGCACATACCTACCCCTACAAACATGCATAATACAGTCCTTCTCTAAACAACTTAAAAAAATTAACTCTCCTCCAGTCACTAAAATTTCTACCAGGTCCAAATATTGGTGAAGTAAATTGCCAAATTACAGCATTCTGCACCACACCAACCAGATTTTACAAGGGCTGCACATCCAAATAAATGCCCCTGGGCAACCCATTCATCTAACAGCTGGAAAGGTGACACTTGACATTTGGAAACTTCCCTGTGAAGATTGCTGTAAGGCTTTCCCATTAGCTTCCTGGTGAGACTGTAAGGTTGAATAAGCTGCCTTGAAACCTGCAAAGGGTAACGGAAATGCTCTAATATCACAAGCCTGCTTGATTTAAAATTCCAATTCCCAAGCCATGACTATTCAGATTTTTCCAAAGTATTAAATGTATTCCGGGGGGGAAAGGGGAAGCAAGCTTTGAGCAGGAGGCAACATGATAAAGGAGAGTTTTTAAGTGATGTGTGTATTTCTAGAGGTTAAAGAGGAAAGAGACAAAAAGGAGGAGATACCCCTCTCTCCCCGTATCACAGTTACCCAAATTCACTGTGCACTGAGAAATTAAGCAAGCAGGTCAGGGATTAAAGATGTTTCACACTCAGCATTTTCATAGGGTCTAAGAAGGCAGGACACAAACAGTGCTTTAGAACAAGTGAGAAAAAATATGCACAGATACTAACAACAAGCTTTCAGTTGAAGTATTTTTAGGAAGTGAAATCAGACCCCAACAGCATGAAATTGCACAAACATGCAATCAGAGAGGCTTTGAGCAGATGGATGGGGGAGAAAGACATCGAGCTGTTACAGTCCCAACTTCAGTTGTTCAAATCTCTTTTTGTGGGAGAATGAATCATGTATCATGTTTCTAAAAAGTTCCTTGCACTATGAACACGCTCTGTCAGCTGGTTCTCCACACACAGGCTGTGTCTCCTGTCTCTGAAGGTTCCTCTGCAGCTCCTCTAGACTTTGTGCTCTTTCTTTTACTAGAAAAATTAGGGCAGAGGTGCTCAGTCAGCAACATGCGAGGAGCACCAAAAGGGAACATGCAGTTACCAGGTTTTTCGTGTCTGTACCCCTTAAACTCGCATTTCTCATGTAAATTCGCCTTTGCATTATTTTCCTCTGTGCATTCAGTGTTTATTTTTTGTCACGCTCTTCTGTCCTATTTATCAGCCTCATCAGAGCAAGCTTTGATTCCAGCGCAGATGATCTGAGTGCTCTGGAAACTGTTAGTACACTAAAAAGGTCTTCCCCAGGTAACAACATTGGCAGTATTTAATTTTTACTTTATGCACTATTGGGAGATTTTACCTTTTAATACTGATGGCCTCGCTTCTTTTCCCCAATTACCCAATTAAGAATTCTATTTGCACTGTATATTGTGCAGGGAGGCTTGCTACCCTTGAGTGGAATTCAGAGCTGGGGCCAAGAAAACATTGCTTGGATTCTACTGCTAAGGAAATGTAAGAAAGCTGGGTTCATCTACCCAAACTCAAGTAGGTGATCCAACCTGAATGAATCTGTAATGTTCAAATCACCAGAAAATCTAGTATTAGTTTCTCAAAACTTGTATATTTAATCTAAACCACAATGAAATTATTTTTTACAGTAGCTAAAAGCAGATAGAAATAGGAAACAGAAAAATACTTTCAAAAAAATCACCTGTATGTATCTGTGCATGTACCAGGAAGCTTGTTTTCCATCATTTACCGATTCCACTGTAGTGTTAGCAAGACCACTAATGTCACCCCCTGCAAAAACCCAGGGTTCACTTGTTTGCATAGTTTCTGGATCTAGTTCAGGAAGACCCCATCTGTTAAACTTGATAGGTGCCATGGCCTCTCTGACTGTAATTAAAGTGAACGACAAATACGTTAATAGACAAAAGAAAAAAACGGTGCTAAAATCTGTCAAATACACACTGATAATTAGAAAAGCAGTTCCAAATTATTTCACTTACTTAAACAGAAATTTACAATAGAAATGAAAAGTCCTTTTATATACATAAACACTTTTGTTGAGCTAGTGGAGGTAGGTAATTACTAACAGGACTCAGACAGAAAACCAGCATCTGTTACACGGAACAGCCGCTCGGCAGTATCAGCAAAGTAACCAGCTCCTGCGCGCCTGCAAAGCCAGACCTGTGTACAAAATAAACGGACACGAGTGTCACAAGAAGTGACTGACTCGACGCAGGCTCAAGAAATAATTGGTGCTAACGTTCTTCTGGTCACTCCCCGAGAACAAGCCGCACATCCCAGAAGCTGGGATCCGCAAAGTCATTCTCACTGGCATTACCTCCCAGAGAAAAAGCCCAGCACTTCTGAAAATCCTATCAATGAACAATAATAACAAAAGAAAAATAAATTTTCTCCCTTTCCCTCCACCCATAGCTTTGTACTGCACTTACCATATCAACCTGCTTTTCTCCTGAACAACCTACTGTATACTCTCCTTTGCAACTTAATACGCAGCATACCATTTTTGACACTTAAAACCAAAGAAGAATGTTTCTGATACAACTTCTAGAAATTCATTTTCACCTTCAGAATTTACTTCCCATATTTATTAACCCTCCAAACAAAAACGATACTCTGCTACTTTTTGACAGGTTATTATTAAACCTGACTGAAAATTTTCAGATGGAACATTTTCCCACCAGGAAATGTTACGCTATCAAAGCTTTGGCTTTGATGAAGTGTGCTGGTTTTAAAGAAATTTAATTCTGAAAAAAACATATTTCAATATAGTCAAAACCATCCTGACTTAGTATTTAAACTCAGAACTTCCGGAAAGTAAGGTTTGCTTTGAAACTTGTAACATATATTAAGAATAAAACCTTAAGAATACAATCAAAATGAAATGCCTGCATGAAAACAATATATTTGGTATCCTCTTCACCTCAATTTCTGATTTTTTTTAGAGGATGCATTAAGATAATTTATTTCATGTTAGTAAACAGCATATATAGGCATTCTGCACATGAACTATTACTGTCCTTAAAAATAATGTAGATGTGAAAATAAAAAAATATTTTCTTTATACTGCATGGCATTAAATACACATCAATGCTCAAAAAAAAAAAATCTTGTTCTATATTAACATGATTTGTATTATGCATTTTTAAATTATTTTATTACACTTCAAAGTGGCTTCATGAAGAGAATCACATTTTCAATAACTATTTTTAGCAAATGTTGATGACATGTATCAAAAGGAGGGCTTTTTATACAGCTTTGTCTACAGGAACTGAAGATTCTGCAGTAAAATGCAGCTTAAAATCGCAATGTCCCTCAGGGACATACCACTAGCAGATGCAGATTGCCAAGGTCAATTAAACTGATGTAGTTGTGCTGTCATATATGTAAAAGAGAAACCTGCCAGTTTCAGACAAGAATATTTCTCCAACACGAGGGCAAAGCCACAGTACTGCCCCAGCGCTCGCCTGAACATACAGCAAGCTTCAAACGCATCTTTTGTGCACATCATCGTGATGGAATTTTCTTCCCAGGCGCTGTCCCTCCTTTCACCTCCACATCCCATATCGGAAGTGTATTGTAAAGTGGGGGCTGTGTATAATCAGGGGCAAAATAATAAAACAGGAAGCAAGGCACAAACATTGTCACCTACTTGTCCCACCCACGCTCTCCTCCTCCCCCGTGGCATACACAAACACATATCCAGAGGACCCAAATCCAAAGTATTTTTTTGCAGCTGGTTCAGAAGGCAGAATCATAGAAGACAGTTTTAAGCTGAAAGACTGTAGCAGGTTTGCACACCAGAAGTATTTAATCTGTCTTCAAGACCTATTGCTTGTGTCCCTTCCACTCTGCATATATAGTTGTGGCTTAACTTGGCAAAAATAATACTTGTGTAGTAACAGAATCAAAAACTTATGGTTTCCTTTAAAAATATTTAAATTACTGAAAGATCACACCAAACACAAGCTTCAGACAGACATTTTTCAGTCTGGAAAATGAGTTTTTTTGTTTGTTTGTGGTGTTTTGGGTTTTTTTATTTGTTGCTTTTGGGAAAAAAAAAGGAAAGTGCTGATAACGGCTGATAGCAGTTTTATTAAGAATGCTTCAGTAATATTTATAAATCAATACATTAACTTTCTCTTTATGTCTCAGACTGTCTGTACTTCAAGAAAGCTTTTGAACATCTTATATTTGTCATATATAGGAACTTACTGCATGCAGTGGTAGCATCTCAGCATGTGGTCCAGACAGTTCTCGCAAGCTAAATACGTACAGGCTTGTAACGACATGTTTGGAAAAAACCCAGAGGAAAACTTGGTACTGCAGGATTTGGTATTGGGGATTTAATATATGACTTGTTTCTCTGAAACAGGACCGAACCACAGTAAAGGTGTTAGAGGGCAACATGCTATCAGAGATATAGTTTTTCAGAAGAAATGATGTAAAACTGGAAGTTCTGACTACTTCTTTCATCTTGTGGAAAAATAGGGTATTACCTCTGTTATCCTGGATCCATTACATCTCTCAAATCTATCTTTGGATTGCTTTGTGCTAAAATAGCTGTCTGGACATAATTATACCAAAAGCTTTTTGAGTGCAAAGAATGCCCAACATACCTTCACCTCAAACATCTCCCCAGGGCCTGGGGATTTGTCTGCCTGATCAGTACTTTTTAAAATTGGGAAAAGAACATTTCCCTGGTGGCAAGGTTGACACGGTATCCAGCAGCTATTTCCTTCTGTCTTTTTTATAGTCCCTAAGATTTAGGTTAAGTAAAAATAAGGGCATGATTTAAAAGCAACTTGTATAAGAGTTCCTAACATCCTCGCCATTTGGGTCTGGGACCTGGGGCAACTGTGAGACTGAAGGGATCACCTCCTAGATCACCTGCAGAAAGAAGGGAAGAACTTTGGTCTTCACAAAGGGAAGTCCCTTCTCTGCCCTTGCAAGGGGTAAGAGACAGTCTATGAGACAAACCTGAGCTTGAAAGGAGGGGTCCCCAACTATCAGCTCTCTGAATTGCTGTTTGCCACTGAACAATAGGCAAACTAGATACCCAATGTTTTTGTTGGTGCATGATTTGGGACAGGGGTAAAGAAAAGAGTGCCTTTTAAATCTCTGCACCCTCACACCCTTTAAAGTTTAAAACTAACATAGCTTTTCTCTTGAAAATTCAAAGTACAATCCTGTGGCTGTGCTGCCTTCTCCTCCACATCCTAGTGAGATAATATATGTACTTTGAAAAGATCCTTCTGGAAGAAAGACAACACAGAATTGAATTATCCTGATGCTATCAAGTGATGCTAACACAAACAACACCAAACAAAAGGACAGTTCTGAATATATATTCCAAATTTGCTATATTCACAGAGCAAACAAACACAAGTGGAAAAGCAGCAGCAAATTACAGCACTTGCAAAAACAATATTAAAATATAAGTGAATAGAGAAAAAAATATTTTAATTAACAAAACAAATCAAATGGAAAAGATTCCTCAAATAAAGCTTTAAAAGTGAGTCTGTGTGTGTTTGACTGCCATGACTAATTATGTATCCATGTAATGTGTGTTCAATTTGGGCTTATTTAAATAGCAGAAATGCTCATTAGCTGCAGTATATCTGTGAAGCTTCAATAAACAGTTTAATGGTTTTTATGTTTAACCAATTTCATAAGTTCCTGTAATTTTAGCTTTAGTAGCTCATTAATGTTATTTTTGATATCCATCTTACAGAATTCCTTTACAGTGAAGAGTAGCATTACTTCAGAAAAATACAAATATACTGTAACTTTCTGAGTCTCAAATGTAAAACTACAGCTGTCACATGCACCAGTAGACTGATTAACTGCTGACGCTGCCCAGCCTAAATGCCCAGCAAATAAAGAAAGGCACAATCATGCTTCCCACAGTCTCTGCCCCACTAGCACACTGAGACAGGTTTAAAAAGAGGTTTGACTGGATAAGGCTGCATCCAGGTAGGAGAGGCTCCTGCTGCAAGCTGGGACTGACTTTGTTTTCTGTCTGTCACCAGCAAGCAAATGTGTACTGATGCCTTATTGGGTGAAAGAGCAGAATTCCTGCTTTAAGTTAACAGGGCTTTAGAAGATACCATGAAGCCACTTTTGGATATTGGAAACTGGTAATCATTTCAGGGTGTGGAACTGCTGCAAACTCATTCAGTAAACCTATTTGTAGAGAAAACTTCTATTCCAAATGACTCAGCCCCGGAAGGCCAACTCTGTCCTGGGCTACAGGCTGCGAAGTGTGGCCAGCAGGTCAAGGGAGGTGGCTCTCCCCCTCTACCCTGCTCTGGTGAGACCCCACCTGCAGGGCTGTGTCCATCTCTGGGGGTCCCCAGCACAAGAGAGACATGGAGCTGCTCGAGTGGGTTCAGAGGAGGGCCAGGAAGATGCTCAGGGGGCTGGAGCACCTCCCCTGTGAGGACAGGCTGAGAGAGTTGGGGTTGTTCAGCCTGGAGAAGAGAAGGTTCTGGGGAGACCTTGAAGTGGCCTCCCAGTGCTGAAAGGGGGCTGCAGGGAAGGTGGGAAGGGACTCTTGATCAGGGAGGGTAGTGATAGGATGAGGGGTAACAGTTTCAAACTGAAAGAGGGGAGATTTAGATTAGATGTTAGGAACAAGTTCTTCCCTGTGAGGGTGGTGAGGCACTGGCACAGGTTGCCCAGAGCAGCTGTGGCTGCCCCCTCCCTGGCAGTGCTCAAGGCCAGGTTGGATGGGGCTGGGAGCAACCTGGTCTGGTGCGAGGTGCCCCTGCCCGTGGCAGGAGGGTTGGAACTAGGTGAGCACTCTATGATTCTCTGATTACTTCCTTATTTGTGTTCGGAAAAGCAATAGGTAGGAATCAGGGAGGACTAAAAGATTTGCTAGACAACATCAGACCCGTTCAGGCTTTGAAAGTGAGGAACGTAAGTACATCATTAAATAAATATCAAGAATGCCACAAAGGTATCCTACTGCAGCCTCTACTGCAGTTGGTCCCTTCCAACACAAACCTTCTATGACTCTATGATATGATTTCACCAGGAATCTTTTGAATCTATATAAGTTTCAGTTTTATATAACATTTTTTTAAAAAGTCTGGTGACTAAAAGTCTATTCTGTGAGTGCAAGGCAGATGCTGTGCTACCAGGGTGACACACTAGGTCACCCCTGTGGGCATTCCCAGATGGGGCATCACAGCCACCTCTCTTCCTCTCTCCTGGTCTTTCATTAATCAAAGCTTCAATGCTTTGAGGCTGAGGTTAGCTAGTTGTCTGAGTGAGCCGTATGAAGAAATTCAACACTCTTTGCAGGTTCACTGGCTTCTGTACCATTTGAAGTTCTGTATTTGCACAAAGGAAAATGAAAATCTTTTTCACTTACAAGCTCACAGCTCTGCAAGATTTTTCACTTTTTCCCTAGCAAATGCTTATCAATCTATAGTAATAAATATTAAGTAAGATTGGATTAAAAAAAATGTAACTACTTGGGCAAATTTATCTTTGCTGTATGTTGAACTATTCTGGGGGGGCAGTAGTCATGCTCTAGTACACCTTCTGGGGTTTGCTGCTGTAGTTTCCAAGCAAGATGGCAGTTGTACTAAAAGTAAAAGCAAAATACCTGAAAGTTGCGACTGATTCCCAAAAATGTGAAATAAACCCTTGCCCTTCAGCTACCATGCAATAGCTAGCTACTAACAAAAATTTAATAAAACATATTTTTGCTCACAAATAGCCTACTATTTCTGGGGTTTTTTTGCAAAGGCAGTATCTGGAGTTTGCTTGGATATTTTTGCATTCCCTTTTTTTGTCTCTCCAGGACAATACAATAGACATCATCATGCTATATTCCAGTGTTCTGGTAAATGGGAATACTCCCTCTTTACTGCTGCCTGCTAAACACAGTGTTGAACTAAACTTATGTTGCCAGTTCCCTATCCTGCCTTAGTTCCCTGTCCTGCACTGCATTTTGAACAAGTGTACTATTTTCCATATTTTCTCCTTGATTCTCCTCAGAAAGCCCAGGTTCTCCTCAGAAACTGAGGAAAATAAACCAGAACAAGTACACTTGTTCCAATGCAAAATTTTGCAGTCCAAAAACATTGTTCCCTTTTGCTTATCAGAACAAAATAGATAAGAAAATGGTTATTCAACGTTTAGACTTTAAAACCAACTGGCCTGGTGTTAAGCAGGATGTACGCAGTGCTATGGAGTACACGGAATTGCGGTTGTAGATATTGAGTAGGCGCAATTTGGAATGGTGACAGAAGATATTTCAGTAATTCACTAATACATCGTAGGCCTCCAAAATAACAAACCAAGCAAAAGAGCAGGAACACAAGGAAAGGTACAAAATTCTCTCACAGCTCTTTGTTTATGTGGGTCAGTTATGATGGCTTGAAGGCTTCGGTAAGCTAGGCAGTAAAAAAAAAAGCAGCTCGTCCTTGTGAAATCTTTTTTTTTTTTTCCTAACAAGAAGCAAAACATTTTTTCTTACTCCATCTGCAGTAGTTCGATTTGAACAATTTGTTGGGTTGTTTTTACTGGCTTCAGTAAAGTGGTAATGTTCTCAAAATAGTCTAGAAGGCATCTCTCCTGTTTCATCTATTAGCAACTTCTCCAGCATAAAATGGACTTAGGAGTCCATTTTTTTAAATTAATGATGCATTTATATGATTCCAAATGGGAGGATGAATACCTAGAAGAACTGTTGCTTAAAAACACAATCAGCATTTTATTTTAACAAAACAAAAACCACTAAATACTTACTGTAAGCACATGGAATCTCAGCTGCAAATTTAATAGTTACCATGCAAGAATAAGAAACATCTTGTTGAGGATAACAGACTAGAAAAAGCTTTCTAACCTATGACCTATTTCTGCTCAGAACAGCAGTCACCCACATGCTTATGTCTTGTTAAAACATGACCATCAAGGCTGCCTTGAACACTTTGTTGAACTGGGCCTAAGTCTGATTTTAATCCCTCTGGTTTTCATAGTATTTTCTTTATTCTTGTATCAGTAGCACCAGCATCTAACAATCTTAATAACAAATACGACACATGCTGCTAGCTTAGCCCATACCACTTCACATGTTCCTCAAGGAACCAGGCTGATCCTTTGTTTTTACCGTAAGAGAGAGTTTAGGCTCTTCTCATGGCTCTATGATGGTTTAACTTTATATACAATAGGGCTGGTGAACAGGAAGCACCAAGTAGCTCATTCAGATTACAGACAACTCTGCTAGCAGCTATATTCTAAAATTCTTCAGTGGGACCTACAATCTATCTTCATTAATTAATGTTTTGTCTTCCTGTGAAGTCAGTACCCTTTTTGTATAATTTTACCAATAACTCTAGAAAACTTTACTGTCAGAAAACTCATTTCTTTAACTTCATTTGAAACATACAGAAAATGCAGACGTGCAGATGTATTTTAGATGCCTGAGGTATGTCCACAAATGCTGCTAGACTGCTTAGATTATGCTAAGAAAATTTGAAATTCCCTTTGCGCTGGCAGAACCAGCATCTAATAACCAAATTTTCTGGTGACGTGCACTCCGGGGCACTTGCCAAGTCCTCTGTCAGAGCATTTATACCCAAAGGACCATGACAACATGTCACGGGTTAATTGGCTGGCATGACTGTGCCCTGGAGAGGTAGGCACATTGATCACTAAGGCTTTCAGAACGTGCTAACCTTGATGAGCGTCTCCAGGCTGAAGATCTATTCATTTTATCAGTTTGTCTTCTGCTGAGTCAGTGTTTTTTACTTTGGAGGACATTTGATGTATGTGCCTGAACTCTTTAAATCTAAACTAGTGTCAGAGGAGAACAGTCCGAGCTCTGCTCAGTTCCTGTGTTCTTAGTGGTACTCGTTTTCTTCAGCTCCCTTTCTGCTACGTCCAGACAATTTGTTCAGAAATGCCGTGTGCCAATTTCTGTATCTTTACTATGGTGCTACACAATTGTTAATTTTTAAGACCAAAGTTTGTAAAGTGCAACTAAGTAATTAGAAAAGAACAGGTGAATTTAACAAATACTGTATATATGAAAGAAGCCATAGTTCTCTACAGTATGCACAAGAAATGAGTGATACCCAGACCAGCTGAACCAGAAAAATGAATCTGTCTTAATTCTTGCTTAATTTAACAGGTAAAAAAAAGTTTCAGAGATCAGACCAGTTCTCTTTAAGTTGTAGTATAATGAGTTTCTCTAAAGTTAATTAGTGAGACCAGAAGAAATCCCCAAGAGTATTCTCTGAGATCCCATTTGGATTGAGAGGAAAGCAAGATACACACTGAGTAACTGTACCTCTAATCTGAGTTCCCGCTCTTTACAGCGATATACAGAAAACTGCTTTGTTATCAGATCCTCAAGTTTTGTTCTAAGAGGCATTCCTAAAGGACAAAGATATTCCTGTGAAGACGACCAGCCGTCACAAACTGTGTAACCTCTAGAAGACTCATCTCACAAAACTGTCACGGGACAGGAACTGGCTGTAGCCGAAATAACAGTCAGCATTTACAGAATGCGTTAGTCACCGTTACCTTTATCATCGCTTAAAATGGAGCCAAAGGCACTGATCACCACGTCAGCTTTCAGACGGACAACCTGATCCTCATCTTCTTTCCAGTTTCCATCACTGTCTTGTTCAGTTCGAACAAACTCCATAGCAACAATTTGTCCACCTCTAAGTACAACTTTCCGAGGGGAGAGAAAAGGCAGAAATTCACACTTCTCTTCTTTTGCAAGTTCCATCTGTAGAGTGGAAGCAATAAAATATGTGATTTGAACATTGTTGTGTTTTTATGAAAAAAAAAAAAACAAAACAAACCAAACCAAACATAAAACATTTTTTGACTCCAGATGCTACCATGCATTATTCTGTAGAAGTCGCATGTATACAGTACACAGACAGTCATCTTAATTCCAGCTTCAGAGCCTCCCATGCTACTAATCAAGCCATTCTAGACAGTGGCACTAGGTAAATTCATAATGCAAATATTTTTCCAATATATTCTCATATTGCTCCCTGTTACTCTGAATACGTATAACTCCTTTGAGGGCAAAGGAGTTACCTTATGGAACTGTGTCATTTAAGATGAGGCCTTTGTGTTTACTGTGATTTTAAGATGTTATTCAATGTTGACTACCATGTGCAAACAAGTTTCCTGAGTGGCAATCCAGACTTAAGATCTTCTGAACCTCTGCTGTGGTAAAACCGCTGAAGTCAAACAGCATTTTGTCTTAGCAAAGTCTTCAGGACTTGATTGTCTATGTTTACATGACAACTTTTTTGAACATGTAATATCCAACCTGACACCATTCTAGCATGGCCGTTACTAGCTGAAGCTACATTTATTTTACTTTTTTTCAGGGCCACTGCATGATCAGATGAGTACAAACATTGACAACTTTTAGGAATTTACCCAGGCTGCTAACAAAGATTTTGGTTCAGAGTGACAGCTGATTCTCGATTAGTAAGAATCTGAATAGTACATGAATCTGTCTGTGCAATGGCTTCAGTAATCTCGTTGTGTCTAGAATTCTTAAATGAAGTGCAACAGAAGTAAATTATGCATCCAGAGACCCTCTATTACTTTTTTTTTGCACCTCCATTCCCCTTCTGTAAGATCTCTGAGGTGCCCACCTTCTTGAAATAGATGACCAAACTACCATAAATCTCATTATAAATATGCATTAGGTGTCTTGATATCCTCAAGTATGCAAAACTGTAAAATATGTACCAAATGAATGATAATGGAAAAAGACCACCAAAACAAGAAAATCTAATTTGAAAAGAACCTCTTGTGGTACAGATACATCGAGGAAGCAGAGTCAAGTTCAGAATGTGCAGATGTCCTGATAAATGCCAAAGTGCAAAGCCAAACTAAAAATCAAATTGAACTCTGAAATCTGTGATGAATGGCATTGCTCTATTGCCATTGGCAGTGATTCAAAGCCGGAATCACTGTAAGTAATTTTCTTACAAGATTTTATAGGCTCCCAAGGCAACGTCAGGATCACCGAGATTCATTAAGACAGCAGCCAGAAGGTATCATTCTAGGATCTAACCATGACCTGAAGAGTCACCTACAATACTCAAATGGCTGTTTGACTTCTGAGGTGCTTCCAAGACTAAAAATTTTAATGTATTTTCTAATTTACAAGAAATTCTACCCCCGTATGCAAATGCATCTCTCTGACTTTACAGGAAACAGGTACAACAGAGGAAAATTATCTCTACAGAGACTATATAAAGTCAGCATCAGATCCTTAATAAACATTTATACATTTTAAGAGTATTTTTATAAACAAAACCTTTAGTAGATGTCTTAAGTATGTATAGCACACTTTCAGGCCCTGTAAAAATAACAACCAATACTCCTTCTCATAAATGCTGTTATTCAATTTTACCTCTTCTGGGACGGCCCTGATATTAGTGAATCCCTTCCTGAAGACCACAAACACGCGACGAGCCCCACAGCGTAAAGCAGACGTTGCACAGTCAAAAGCAGTATCTCCTGCCCCAAGTACAATCACAGTTCCATGTATTGATGGCAATGGAGAGTGACAGGCACACATCCCTGAAAGATGAAAGGAAAACCCCATTTTCAAGTAGAGAAACCATTTCTGCATGACAGCTCAAAAGGTACTTGTACTCAAAGCAGTGTAAAATTGCATCTTACAGTTACCAAGCATGGAGTGTCACTATCAAATTATTCTGCTTCACTGAAAGACAGTTTTATTCCCGTTTTTAAGATATGCTCATATACATAATTTCATAGTCAGTACTCTAAGCAGCTGCACCTTTCTATCTGGAAAGAATTCAAATGACAACACGTTTGTAGGATTGTGGGTGCTGTCAGGTTGAAATTAGCATTGCAAGATCTTTTTACTCAAAATGTAAGTTTCTCACTTATCAGATTCAATATTCTCTCAGTTTAAAAAAAAAAAACCCACCTTTTAACCTTTAAATTATAAAGAATAATATTTGGTATTTTCAAAAGATGACCAGTTGTTGATAGTTTTGTGTAATAGTTTCTCAGAGTTAGTCCCCTCAGTCAGTTTTCTACAAGGCACTGACACTGTTCTGGCTATGACATGGCTCTCAGAGGCTATTCTCTACGGCAGCTGAACATGAGGCAGAAAGAATATTGTCAATACAGTAATTCCTAGATCTTCCACTGGGAGAAAACATTTAATCTGCAGTGACTTTCCACAAATGATCTGAAAAAAGTTACACGGAGAGAATGACAATGTTACGTGTTTGTCATCTACAGCTTGTAGCTGATGATTCAATTATACAAGAAATACTCAAGTAAAACTGAACTATGTGTGTTCCTTGTATGAGGCTGCACTTTATCACAAGTTTAAACACAACTGTGGATTAGGCAAATCACTGCAACTTTTAAAATAATGCCATAAACAATATAAGGCTACGTTCTCAATAAGCTTGTGATAATTTCAGTCAGGAGGCACTAAGCTGGCCATTTAATCATTGCACTGTGACTTAAGTAACCTCTACAGTAGCAGCACATTTTCACATGCAAATTGTAAAGAAACTCAAGCGTCATTCAAGGAAACAATGCTTTTAATTTAGACCTATAAATGGAGGGAGAAACAACAACCTAATACACATATTCCCTCTCCATTTGTAAATTGTTTAATGTATGGCAAATGCTATCATTTCCCCACCCGCCCATGTATATGGCATAGCATTTACTATGTACTTAATAAGCTTCTTATTCTAAAATTATCTCTAAACTTTTCTCATTTATTTTTAACGAACTTAATCCTTCTCAAAAATTGTACACTGAGCAGTGGCAAAAGCACAAGTGCAGCAGGGGAACTGCATCTCAGAGTGCCATTATGGGACTAGCCTGGAACGGATCAGTCACAGCAGCCCACTTCGCTCTTGGTAACAAGACCACTCCCAAGGTAAATTCACGTCTATGCATTTGCAAGGGGAACCCCTTTTGGAGGAAAGTGTATTCACATGCGGTATTCAGAACTTAATAAGCAGGCAGAATATGTATTTTACTGTGAATAAGCCTATTATGTCTATTATTTAGAGAACTGTCACAGTAAAAAAAGAGGGTAGAGCAGGATATAAGATGTGTATATTTTATTTTAAAATTCCATGCTTTAGAGAGCAAGAGGTGGCTACAGCTACAGACAGACACTAGGAAAATTAAGTAAAAGAGAACACGTTAATTTAACAGACAACACCAAAGAGCTATCTATTACTGTCAGTCAGAAAAGGTTAGCTCTTCAAAGTTCACCATTTTTTTCATTGTAGACTTAATATAAAAAGAAAAAATCATTACATATCCTAGCAAATCAAGAGTGCTACTTTGCAACATTTCAAAAGATGCCGATCACAGTATATAGATCCTCATACAGGCAGGAGACTTACAGTATGCAAGTGCTACGTGTCCATACAGATTCAATAAAGTATTATTAGTCAAATTATTACAAGAAGGGATTGTTTTGCAGGATTTATTTTTCCTTTGTTAATCTACAAACATTTTGCAGTGCAGATTCTCAATCTGTTTCTTTGTTAAAGATCTCTCTCATAAAAAAAAAACAACCTACCATCCTTTTCTCCCAATCCATTTGAGCTCACTCTGAGCTCAAGAAAACAGACAGAAATAAGCATTTGATCAAAACAGCAGAGAGATGGGACAGATGGGATGCAGAATTTCCATTCCTAAATAAAATGGGGTAATAAACTTTACTTTTATATGCAAAATACTTTGCCACAGAAGATATATTCTTCAACACATTGTTTATGGAAAGTCTACTAAATAAGAAGGCAACCCTTTATGATGCTAAAAGAAGTTTCTGAATGCTCACAAGAAAATCAGTTTGTAGATAAAAAAAGTCTATGTGTGGTTAAATATGTGGTCATATGTACAAGGTCACGCACTGCTCTAAGTATATGCCCAGAAAACTGTACATGGAATTTTTTTTTATCAACACATTGGGGAATCTAGACCATGAGGGAATGTGGCATAAAAATCATGAGCCCCATCTCATACGTCCATCCGGGGCTTATGATTTCACATTCAGGGCCACTGAAAGCAGCTATACTCCTTGGGGAGCAAATGCAGCCATCTCATACTCAAAGATGTAAAAGCATCAAACTAGACTGCATTTGGTGCCCATGAACTGAGCGTTGTCTTACTAACTCCTGGCATATTACTGTTCCTCTGAGTCTTAGACTGTAAGTTGTTCGGATAAGGAACTAATGCTCCCTTAAATGTGCTTGTAAAACATGCAGCAAATGACTTGGTATCAAGAAAAATCATCTATCAACAACATACAAAGCAGCTGCTTATATGGGTTGGCAACACATTAGAATCACCGAATGGTTTGGGTTGGAAGGGACCTTAAAACCCACCCAGTTTCAACCCTCCTACCATGGCCAGGGGCACCTTCCACTAGACCAGGTTGCTCCCAGCCCCACCCAGCCTGGCCTTGAACACTGCCAGGGAGGGGACAGCCACAGCTTCTCTGGGCAACCTGTGCCAGTGTCTCACCTCCCTCGCAGTGAAGAACTTCTTCCTAATATCTAATCTAAATCTCCCCTCTTTCAGTTTGAAACTGTTACCCCTTGTCCTATCACTACACCCCCGATCAAGAGTCACTCCCCATCTTTCCTGTAGGCCCCCTTTAAGCACTAGAAGGCTGCTGCAAGGTCTCCCCCCAAACTCTCTCAGCCCGTCCTCATAGGGGAGGT